GCTCTTTTTCTACGACACGATCCCTGGGATCAGTCTTTGGGGTCCAAAACACTATTGCCTCAGCAGAGTTGATCTTTAGGATTAGACTGCTAAACCCAACACTTCTTCTAATTTTGTACCATGTCCATTGCACATCAAGCCCCACTGGAGCCCTTCATCCAACCTCAACCTTCAAACATTTGACAGGAGCATCAGTAGGCCAGAACGCATCAGTGGCTGATGGAGTGATAAAATACTGCTTATCAGTTCAAAGGCTGGGGGTTGTTAGTTGCTTTTTGGCCCGAAAATGGCCCGGGAACGATGTCCACAGTGTCAGAATTCCTTTGCATTGCTTTTACTGACTTGACACCTTTCTGGCTTGTTCTCCCCCTCAAAAGATGAGCCTTCTCATTTCAGAATTCTCCCCACTCCAATTTAAGACCACATTGGATTTTCCCTTTCATCTGCGTGTGCCATTAAATTGCTGCATAGCTCACTATAATAACCACTTTGCATTGATTATCTTCTTGTCTCATAACAGTGTCTTGTTATATAAATTCCATGGTGGGGGGGGTGCACGAGTGGAGAATTAAAGAAACATCTTGTTGTTTTGCTCATTTTCAGTAGTTAATGATGCTACTGACTTGCTCTTAAATGTTTTGTTCAATATTTTATTGCTTACTGAAATTGAGTCGGTGGCGTAAATTAGCGCCTGTGTGTTCACTGCACATGCTTGACAGTGGTTTCTTTAAAAATTATACAATGAAACAACAGAACTAGATTGGAGTTCAAGAGCCCATTCAAAAGACTGGAATTCAAAATCCCATTCCTTTGTTGTTTCGGGCCAGGACTGAAATTGTCTAGATCAGGAGAAGACACCCCTCAAAACTAAAGAGCTAACTGAAGTCAAAATTCAAAGCAAGAGACCAACAAAGAGCCAGTTTAAGAAAGCTCATTTGCATAACTGAAAGTATATGTCTTAACATTACCGATAATAATTAACATGTTGATTAAGAATCCATAAAGCAGGCAGGGTCCCCAAACTTTTTGAGCCTTCAGGCACCTTTGTAATTTTGAGAGGAGGTGCTGAGCACCACCCCAAAGTGGGTGCTTCAGGTGGTCCGGACAGACCCAAAATGACTGTCCCAGGAGGAGGAGCCAAACACAATATGGCTGCCACATGAGGGAGAGCCAAAGACGATAACTTCATCCTCGATTTGCAAAAGCATCGCAGGGCAACCATGTTGAACTCAAGAAGCCGCTGTATTCAGAATCAAGCCGTTGATCTCTCAAGCTTGGTATTATCTGTGCTTTGACTGGAAGTGTGGTCCAGCCACTGGGAGGACAGCAAGCTTGGAGAAAGAGGGGCAGGTTTCTACTCCTGAGCACTCATCTCCCCCAGCCCCCTGCAAAGCTTGTTCCCTGTTTTGCAAAAGAAGCTCATGGCAAAAGTCATTCAGGTCATAAACAATACTCCCTCTAACCTGTGGAGTCCTGTGAGCAAAAATTCTACTTTGTGAGCTACTGGCATTACAGTTGTGAGCAAGCGATTTGGCTACTGCATATATTAGTTTTCTCTGGAGCCATTCTTCCTGAGCTAAGACAAAAATGTGTGAGCCAGAGGCTAAAAACTGTGAGCTAGCTCACATTAACACAGCTTAGAGGGAACACTGGTCATAAACTCCACTCCATGACTCTATCCCTCTCAGCCTCATTTTATTCCATCATGGACACATGCAGCAGCCTTTTGCTAAGACCACTCGTTGATCAAGGTCAGAATTGCTTCTACTCTGAGTCTCAAACATTCTTGGTGACATTTGGTTTCAGGGGTGTGCAACCTCTGGCTCCAGAGCCAAATCTGGCTCAGTACAGAACCAAATACAGCTCTTTACAGAAGAAAATGAAATCCTTAAGGTATTTTGTAGGGGCAGGTGATACATAATCAGTACTTCTGTTGCTAATTATTATTATAAAAAACATTCTGTGCTGCTTTCCCACCCAAATAGGATCCCCAAGGTGGCAAACATAAAAACACTGAAACATTTCGACAGTAATACAACATGTACAATAATATATAAAATTCAGTAAAAATGAATAAACACATATATGTGAAGAGAACAGCAGGCAACAGTTTTTATGGAACTAAAGGGCTTCTTAAAGGTGCTTTACAGAAAGGGAGGTGATAGAGGTGAACAATTGCCAGCCAGTCAAGTGCAAACCAATATGCAGATTTATACCAATGTACAAAAACACTCACACAGGGTTCATTGCCGTGTGTTTATTATCTATTGGGAGACCTTTTGTGGGCTACATCCAAATCAAAGTCTTGTAACAACCAACTTTTGACTCAGTCAATGAAGCCACGGCTGTCAGTTTGCAAGACCTCAGCAAGGTTTTTACAATAGGATGTTTTGGAGGCCATTAATTCATAGGGTTGCCATAAGTTGGAAGTAACTTGACAACACTTACACACACTCTGTCCCAGAATGAAATGTGAAGGAGGAGAAGCACCAGAAGTACTGGAAGAAGAGCTCAGATTGGCCAGAGATGCCAGTTCTGAAATGAGCGATAACTACAAAAAAGCAAGGCCTACAAAAATACAAGGAGGATTGTTCCCAGGTGAAAGCCAGATTTATGCATTTGGAAGAACAGATGAAGAGACAAGCTGGGAGGGATGGAAGTTCTACCAAGGAAAACTATGGTCAAATCAGAGATCTTAATGACAGGATAAGAAGTCTGACTGACAAGACTGAAGATGAGAAGAGGAAAAGGAAGCTGCTGGAAGACAAATGTGAGCAGCTGAAGTCCGACTTTGACCAGCTGCAGAAAACAGGGCAGGATGAGAAGAAAACTCTTGGTTGGCAAAAGACAGAACCTGAGGAAATCATCAAGGAGAAAGAGGATGAGATAGAAAGGTGAAGGGTTCTTCTTCAAGACGAGAGGACATGAAAGAGGGAATATGAGAATGAGCTGGCTAAGGCAAGAAACCAGTTTAATGAGGAGATAAAGAAAAAATATGAAACAGAATAACATTTAGACGACTGCAGTCAGTCCAGCAGATAGCACCTTAGAAAGACGAGGATGCCAAGGGCCTCCGAGTCCAGATCAATTGACTGCAGAGGGACAACAGAGACCTGAAGGACGAAATTGTCAGGCTCAAGAATGCCATTTTGGAAATTAGAAAACAACTGAGGAGGACAGAAGAAAATGCTCTTCAGCAGAAGGCTTGTGGATTACCTGAAATCCAATTAATTGTTTGTTTATATTTTAACGATGTATGTTTTTCATAATTGATGTACACTGCCCTGAACTCTTCAAGGGAGAGTGGTTATAAATCTAAGAAATAATAATAATAATAATAATAATAATAATAATAATAATAATAATAATAATAATAATATAATGCATAAGCTTCAGCCCTAAGCCATTCCCCCCCCCCACAATGCATTATAAGAGTATACAGCAGCACATATCACAAGGGACTGAATTCCACAAAAGGCATTTCTAATATGCAATTGTTTTCATAGAAAATGAAATTACTGGCTATTTTACTTTAGTTCCCATTATTATACCCATTTTCCAATCAATACAACAGCAGAGCAGTCAGTCTGAACTAGAAAATCAGTTGATCTTTTGTGCCAAGATGAAGACTGTGTGTATGCTGCTGCGTAGGGTTCCCAGCATTACCTAGACAAATTTCAGGAGAGTTCTGGGGCAGTTCCTGGGAATGGTGTCTGGATAGGATGCAGTGTCACTTCTGGGTGACACTCTAGGAATTTCCCCTAATTTGTATGGTAAAGACCCTAGAAACCATAGGGAGTTCCTAGAGTGCCACTATAGATCCCATTTTTTCCCAAGCTCCTCAACTGTTTGTGGGAGATTAGGGCTGGGGGATTCCCCACTAGGCCCAGGCAATTAGGAAGCCTACTGCAGCTGCCAGCTTTCTCCTGAAACGTGCAGAAACATCCATAGTCAGGGCACATGACCAACAGGAGAAGCTAGGCCCCATGGATTATACCATCAGGTTACTGGTCCGTTTAACTCAGTATTATCTATCCTGACTGATGACAGCTCTCCAGCATGGACAGATTTGGTCATGATCCCATGTCTGGTTCATTCACGTTATACTGCTACAACAGTATGCTGGTTCTTACCAGGTGCCGTTATCTATGATGTTCCTCTGTTAACTGGATGCTCAGCATCAGCCAGTGCAGAGGATAAATTAGCATTTAAAAAAAAAGAAAAAAAAGAATCAGGTTTCTGAAACATGGCACACAATTATTGCGTAAACTGCTTTATAAGTGCTTTTTTCCTCACTTGTATGTGCCTGTTGCTTTGGGAGGGAGGACTGTTCTTCATGTCTTTTGCTCCCTCTAGTGGTCGATTCAATATTACATCACTTTACGCCTGGCATATCTCCCTGCAGATTTAAACTAGGCTGGACATAGAGCGATATAAAATCAAATTGACCACTAGAGGGAACAAAACACGCGCAGAACAGACCCGGCCCCCCAAGAACAGCAATACACAAGCTTGGAAAACGAGAATGTGGAAAACCCCTGGTTCTTCTTGCCCTTTTCTCTTCTAACCTGCAATATTTGCCAGATTAGGGGAAGCTAGACATTGTCTGTGAAGGAATGCTGCTGTGGTTGACCCAGAATCACACGACAGAAGCAGAAACGCTGTAATATTTTCAGTAGGGCATTGCTGCAGAAACAGAGAAGGAACTGGGTTTCTGCTTTCTTTCTTTTTTTTTTAAAGGCCTTTGGGGGCATAGTGTGGTGAAGGGGAAGGGCATGAAACAGTCAAGTCATGCCATGCATTCATGGTCTTGCTACCTTCAGGATGGTGCCCAACGTTGCCACAAAGGAGCAAATGAAAAGGCGTTGCAACTGGCGGAAAAAAGACTTCCTAGCTTTCCATTCAGTTTGGCTTTGGGTTCTGCACCCAGTGCATTTAGGAGCCATATGCACCCAGTGCATTTAGGAGCCATCATCCCCCTCAAAGGACAAATGATCATCTTAGTCTCTTGGATCTTGGCAAAAAACGCATTCTGGTTTTTGGGCTCCTTCGGGTTCAATCTGAAGAGTGACTGTGTGGAAGTTATAAGCGTCGAACAGAGCTTCAGTCATTTCTTTCAAAACCTGCTGCTCGTCTGCAGTATCCACTGTAGGAAGGAAAGGGGGGAAAAATGATTAATGGGTGCCGTCCTCGTTTTCCCAGATCAACAGTTTTCTTATGTAACAACGCTTTGAACACCTCTTTTTTTGTTTCTTTTGCAAAAACTGGTAGAATGTTAAATCGGTTTTTCAAGATGCATGGGATTTGGTGCTGGGGGGGGGCAACAGGGAGGGGGCTTCTAGTGTCCCGGCCCCACTGCTGGACCTCCTGATGGCACCTGGTATGTTTGGCCACCGTGTGACAGAGAGTTGGAGTGGATGGGCCATTGGCCTGATCTAGCATTGGCTTCTCTGATGTTCTTATGTTCTTATGTCCCCTAGAGAGGATATCTAATGGCTGTGAAGAGGTTTGTGGTGCCCAGTTTATAAACTTGTGTTCTTTATTTACTTCATTTATATCCTGCCTTTCTCCCCAACTGGGAACCAAAGCAGCTCGCATCAGTCTCCTTTCTCCCGTTTTATACTCACAACCACCCTGTGAGGTAGATCAGGCTGGTAATGTGTGACTGGCTCCAGGTCACCCAGTGAGCTTTCAGGGCAGAGTGGGGATTTGAATCTGGGTCTCCCAGCTCCTAGTCCAGTATTCTAACCACTATTCTACACTGGTGATAACGCACACTGATTTCAGAGGGATTTATCGTAAGTAGGTATGCTTCTGATCTTGGGTTGCCGACCTCCAGGTGGTAGCTGGAGATCTCCCAGGACTACAAATGATCTCCAGGGGACAGAGGTCAGTTCCCCTGGAGAAAATGACCACTTTCAAGGTGGACTTTATGGCATTATGGCCCATTGAGATCCCTCCCCTCCCCAACCCCAAAATCTCCAGGTATTCCCCAACTCGGATCCAGCAACCCTATTCTGACCATAGTCTTAAGATTAATGGCTTGGATCCAAAGCAGCATGAGTAGAAACCGGCAAAAGGAATGGAACGTTCATGCCTCCTCTCTCCCATGACACTACACCCCCCACAAGGCTTCATGAATCTGGACACTTCCAGAAACAACTCTGGGCGCAGTGAGACCGTTTGCAGTAGGAGCAGGGAAATGGCAAAAAAACCCCCACCCCTCCTTCTCTCTCAGCAGAAGGGAAACAAGGTTTAGATGGAAGCCAATGACACTGAGGAGTCTTTTTTTCTTGTGCACCTTTTACAAATAAACAACGGGCGCAGATAAGTAGTAACAGTTATTTAAGAGTAAATGGATTTCACAAACAGCCAGGGCTATTTTTGGGCAGGAACGCACAGGAACAGAGTTCCGGCTGGCTCCTGAGTTGGCCACACCCAGAAGGAACTCATTAGCATAATAGGCCACACCCAACAGCAGAAACTCATTAGGATTGGCTACATTAGGGGTGTGTGGCCTAACACGCAAAGGAGTTCCTGCTACAAGAAAAGCCCTGGGTTTTGACAACAAGGTAAACAGAATAAGAAGCAAAAGGGGTGTGTGGCTGGATGACCAAACTTCTGGTAACATGGGGGTGCGGCCTAATATGCTAATATGCTGTGCTGTCAAGGGTGTGGCCTAATATGCTAATGAGTGTCTGCTGTTGGGTGTGGCCTATTATGCTAATGAGTTCTTGCTGGGCTTTTTCTTAAAAAAAAGGCCTGCAAACAGCTATCTCAGTGCTGATTCCCTAATTACAGGAATGTACTGACCTGTGACAATGTGAGCCATTAAAAGGGTCTGGTTCATTGTTAGAGACCAAAGATGAAGATTGTGGACGGATTTCACTTTGTCCATTGCTAGAATCTTCTCTTTGACTGCGTCATAGCTCAATCCCTTTGGTGTTCCTGTACAATAGAGGGCAAATGCCTTCTTTTAAACCTTTTAAAATAAGCACTATATACAGTTAAAAGTTATTCTGGGCCTATACAATAAGTTTGTCTCTCAGCTATTTCACAAATTTATCAAGCCTGACAATCCATTTTGCACAATTTGTTCCTCAGCCTCAAAAATGAGGAAAAAATCTGAATGATTCAGCTCTCCACATATATCCATCTCTACACAAAGTAGCCATCTCATTTTAAGTTATGGTTCTGCATCTGTAGAGCTCCATATACTATTTATTTTTGGAAAATGATACATTATCTTTCCAGATGTTCAAAGTGGTATATAAAGTTAAGAAGAGAAGAAGAGAGAAGAGATTGGATTTATATCCCACCCTTCATTACCTGAAGGAGTCTCAGGGTGCATTCAGAATGGCAGCTAATCCCGTCATTGGCCCGGCTCAAATTTGATCCCGATCTTTTTTATCCAGTGTTGCATAACCAGACAGCTCCCCCTGTGAATTGACTTACCACACACTGACTCCACTGTGGATTGTCTAGACGGCATCCCCCTGAAGGAGCCACGCAGTCGGGTTTTGTTTTTTTGTTTTTTAAATCCATTGTGCATGCACATATGCACTTCACCGTGTGCTTGGTTTTCCACACATGCACGGAATCACGTGGTTAAAGCACCGCCTGAGGGACACATAGCTGAAATCCCTACGCCTCCCCAACTCTCCCTATGGAGTGACCAACAAGACAGTCCAAGCATACCCAACTTCTTTCAGTTTCTGTTCTGATGCAGATGGCCAGGGCTGGATGAAATGAGTCCAGACCATACCCCCTGCCCTGGAGATCTGAGTCAGTGGAGGGATTACTTTGCTTGGGGAAAGACCTACGCTGTCCTCCCTCAAGGTCCAATTTCAATTAATGAGGTTCATTAATTTAACGGGCCATTGATTAACATGAAATTGTTCTGAACCCTTGAGTGGAGTTCTGCAGCTATCGCACATTTATGCGTTTATGCGCATATCGCTTGGAGATGTTTTTAAAATGGTGGCCATTCGGGATGGCCCGGAGCCAACCATCCCGATGGGCTGATTGTGTGCTGGAATGATCAGACAGAGGAGAGTCCGTCATTGGACCGTCGGGAAGCATTAGCTTTCACCGGTATCTTTTAAGTACGGCTCCCTGGCGGGCCTAAATGGGCTGATCACAGAAATGGCACCTTTCCCAGATGTCACTGTCTGATCATTCCCTTTAAATCCACCAGGCATTCATGTCTGGGTCGGATCTAAAGACTCGACTGACCATAACCTCAGAGCACCTTACAATCTCCTTTCCCTTCCCCTCCCCACAACAGACACCCTGTGAGGTAGGTGGGACTGAGAGAGCTCTTTCGAGAACTGCCTGTGACAGAACAGCTCTGAGAGAGCCCTGACTGATCTAGGCTACGGTCACACACACTAAATAATCCACTTTCAATCCACTTTCAGTGCACTTTTAAACTGGATTTTATTGTGTGAACTGGCAAAATCCAGTTGGAAAGTACATTGAAAGTGGGTTGAAAGTGGATTATTTAGTGTGTGTGACCACAGCCCCAAGGTCACATCAGCAGCTGCAGTTGGAGGAGTGGGGAATCAAACCCGGTTCTTCCAGATTAGTGTCTGCACTCCTAACCACTAAATCAAATTAAAACATGTCAATCAAACAATCGTACTTCAAAGCCCCCATACCAATGTACCTAAATAATGAGTACATTGCTTGTTAGGGGAAAAAATGTTGTGTGGCTCTTACAAAATGATGCTGGAGAAATTGTTTCACTCGCCTCTTCTGGCAAACGGTTCCAAAATAACACAGCAGTGATGGAAAAGGTGTGTGATTCTGTTGCCACTATACATGCTTGACAGAATGACATTACCATTAATAGGACTTGCTGTCTAAATCATGACTGGGATGCAGAGTTATATCTATTTGTGTTGGAATGTTCTTTAACATTGTCCTCAACGGACTTGATGATAACAGGAAAAGAAAGGAGGCTTTAAGGATATGCCTGCCCTACAGGCACGACATCTTACCTTCCATTAACACCAGCAAAATGTCCCACAAAACAGTGATGGTGGTTCCCAGAACAAATGCGGAGAACACAAATGTGCAGATTGAGTCAGCCATCTTGTAGGCTGGCTAGAATAAAAGACAGAAATCGTTTACTGAACAAATCACTCCCCTAATACCAGTTCTGTTCAGTTTTTAAGTAGCTTTTTACCCCAAAATATTCCATCCCTTCTCGTATCAGTGTCAATGATTGATACTGATAGGTATTTTGGGGAGGACATAGGCTTACCAGGTCTCCTCCCACCCCAATCTGGGAGATTACTAGAGTGTTCCAGAGATGCTTGACATCACTTTAAGTTACATGACCAAAAAGTGACATTGTGGCATCATGCAATGCCACAAAATGCCTTGCTGTGCCCCCCAAGGCTCCTGAGGATTGCCAGCCGAGGATGTGTGACAACTCTCCCCCCCTCCTGCCCCCCTACCTGAGAGCAACCCACTCTCACTGAATCTCTCTCCATCATGGCTGTAGATAGATAGCTAGAATGCCTGTCTCAGTATGGATTCCTCTAACCAGGGCTATTTTGGGGCAGGAACGCACAGGAACGGAGTTCCGGCTGGCTCCCAAGTTGGCCACGCCCAGCAGGAACTCATTAGCATAATAGGCCACACCCGACAGCAGAAACTCATTAGGATTGGCTACAATTAGGGGTGTGTGGCCTAACATGCAAAGGAGTTCCTGCTCCCAAAAAAAAGGCCCTGGGTTTTGTCAACAAACAAGGTAAAGAGAATAAGAAGCAAAAGGTGGGTGTGGCTGGGTGACCACACTTCTGGCAACACGGGGGTGTGACCTAATATGCGAATGAGCTGTGCTGTCAGCGGTGTGGCCTAATATGCTAATTAGTTCCTGCTGTTGGGTATGGCCTATTATGCTAATAAGTTCCTGCTGGGCTTTTTCTACAAAAGAAGCTCTGCCTCTAACAATAATGTCCATTTCTCCCCCCAAAGCAACAAGCCTTGTGTGGGTTTTATTCTCAAAGTAGCCTCCCCCTTCTGCTAGTCCACAGCCAGTTCCTACTAACATGGCTTAGGTACACTGGGCTAAATGATGCCCTGTCAATAAGAACATAGGAGCCCGGCTGGATTGGACCAGTGGTCACATGAACACATGAAGCTGCCTTATACTGAGTCAGACCCTCGGTCCATCAAGGTCAGTATTGTCTACTCAGATTGGCAGTGGCTCTCCAGGGTCTCAGGCAGAGGTCTTTCATGTCACCTGCCACCTTGTCCTTTTAACTAGAGATGCTGGGGATTGAATCTGGGACCTGCAGCTGCTTTACCACTGAGTCACATCCCCTCCCCCTTTGGTCCAGCATCTCATCCCACACTAGGGTTGCTAGGTTGTGTTGTCGCTCCGGCAGGGGAATGTGGGGGTTGTTCTAGGGATGGGTAAGGATGCCCCCAAGCCCCTCCTCCAAGTAGGGTTGCCAAGTCATTTTCTAGCCGGAGCGGGGGACTCCCGGCTGGCATCTGGAGCGCACGCGCGCGCCGCATGCACATCACCCAGAAGTGATGTGACGACGCCGGGCATGCTGGAGGCGGGGCCACAACCATCTGAGGGAAAACCATAGAGTTTTCCCTCGGATGACTGTAGCCCCGCCCCCAGCATGCCTGGTGTCGTCACATCACTTCCGGGTGACGTGCACGTCGGGATGGGGTTCCCCTCGGGGCCCGATCAGCTGCCGGCGGGGAATGGGCCTCTGGGGTGGGGGTTTCCCTGCCCGCCAGGGGGACTTGGCAAGCCTACCCCCAAGCCACAGCCACCCATGGCCACCCCTCCCCTCCCGCAGAGATTTAAAGGGCGTCAGCTGATCAGCGGGGAGCGTGTGGCCCACCAATCAGCTGGAGGGCCCTTTTAAATCTTTCCGCAAGGAGGAAGAGGGGGCTGTCGCCAGGGTGGGGGCTGCAGTGCACTCAGGGCTGATTTCTCAGCAGGGATCCACCACTTGGGATTCAGGCCTGTGCTGCAAACCCCACAGCGAAGAAGTGAGCAGTGACTCACGAAAGCAGAAAGAAGTGAGCAGTGACTCACGAAAGCTCCTACCCTGCCACATATTTTGTTAGTCTTTAAGGTGCTACGGGACCCTTGCTCTTTTCTGCGTCGAAACTGAAAAGTCCCAGACTCTTCAGCCATTCCCCACAGAAGGCCTCCCAACCCCTTCGTCATATTTGTTGCCCTCCTCTGTACTTTTTCCAGCTCTGCAATGTCCTTTTTGAGGTACCGTGATCAGAACTGTACACAGTATTCCAAATGAGGCTGCACCATATGGGGGCATTATACTATTGCCCAGGGCTATTTTGGGGCAGGAACGCACAGGAACGGAGTTCCGGCTGGCTCCCGAGTTGGCCACGCCCAGCAGGAACTCATTAGCATAATAGGCCACACCCAACAGCAGAAACTCATTAGGATTGGCTACAATTAGGGGTGTGTGGCCTAACATGCAAAGGAGTTCCTGCTGGGTTTTGACAACAAACAAGGTAAACAGAATAACAAGCAAAAGGTGGGTGTGGCTGGATGACCACACTTCTGGTAACATGGGGGTGCGGCCTAATGTGCTAATGAGCTGTGCTGTCAGGGGTGTGGCCCAATATGCTAATGAGTTCCTGCTGTTGGGTGTGGCCTATTATGCTAATGAGTTCCTGCTGGGCTTTTTCTGCAAAAAGAGCCCTGCGTATTGCCTGTTTTATTTTCAGTTCTTTCCTAATAATCCCCAGCACAGAGTTTGCCTTTTTCACTGCTTGCAGTGCACGGGGTCGACACTTTCATGGACCTGTCCGCTACAACCCCAAGAGCATGAAAATTGTTGTATCCTGCATGGCTAAGCAGGTGCGTACGCTGAATAAAACTGACCTCAATGAATATTATGAGCGCACTAATTAGCACACTAACGCTCTGAAGCAGATCTCCCACAGCGTGGACAAAAGCTGCCCTTACACTGGCATTTGCCGAAGCTGGCTTGCGTTGCGATAGATGACAGGTGGTGTGATGGCCGTCTCGAACGTGTCTGTGTCCCGTCTGGTACAACATCAGACTTAATCTGCAAGAATGAAGTTTGTCATCAAGATCATCGACTTTTCAATTTATTTTTCCAGCCAATGGTTATGCATGATGTCTGATAAGGACTGACATGTAAAATCATTAATCCTTTGTTGCCCTGTCTCTCCTTCCTCTTTCTACCTTCCCCAATCACTTATGTAAGAGCTCTTTCCCACACACTAGATAACGCGCTTTCAATCCACTTTGCAACTGGATTTTACTGTGTGAAATGGCAAAATCCACTTGCAAACGGTCACTGCAGTGGATTGAAGCTGCGTTATTTAGCATGTGTGAAAGTGCAGTGAAGATACCTATCTATATATCTAATAGTGAAGTGGCCCCCTCTGAGCGGATATCTAAATCCGCACTTCGGGGGCACTTGAGGGGCACTTGAGGGGCAGGGAGAGGTTTGTGCACACGTGGGGCAGTCCCCATGTGTGCACAAAAATCCTAAATGTTGAAAAAAGAATCGGGGGGATGTTTAAATCTCCCCCGAAACTCACAGAGCGTCCCCTGCGCATGCGCAGGGAACGCTCTGCGACCGAGGCTGCTGCCGCCACTTGGAAGGGAAGCGGCTACAGGGGGGGGGACAGTGAGGCCCGGGCGGCTACAGCCTCCTGAGGCCTCGCTCCGGAGCCGGGCGGGGGGGGGACAGCGAGGCCCAGGCAGCAGCAGCCTCCCGAGACCTCGCTACGGAGCGGGGCGGGGGGGGGAACAGCGAGGCCCGGGTGGCTGCAGCCTCCCGGGCCTCGGTTCGGAGCCGGGCGCGGGGGTGAAGAGGCAAGGGGGGTGGAGGACACGGGGAAACAGCGGGATGGGGGAGTACTTACCTCCTCCTGCTGCTTCCTCTGCCTCCCCCTTGTCTTTTCTAAAAATGAAATTCTGTGCTCCAGGTACATCCATGGCTGTCCATAAATGTGCCTGTCTTAATAGCAACAGTCATAATGCCCATATTCCAAAGAGAACTGGAATATTCCAAAGGCAATTGTCAAATCTGACAGCCTTCGATGGAGCTTCCACTGGACATTTCTTTTGCCCCATCTTCTAACCATGCTGTGTTCAATCGGTCACCTTCTAAATAGCCTGTTTCTCTGCGCCTCTGTGTTTTTTAAAAGTTGGCTTATCCAAACTGAATCACTACACAGCATATGACAAGTGACCATGTGGTCATTACAGAGCCAGTGTGGTGTAGCAGTTAGGAGTGTCAGACTGGACCCAGGGCAAACAAAGTTCAAAAACAAGGATGCCAGCCTCCAGGTGGGGCCTGGGGGTCTCCTTGAATTACAGCTTATCTCCAGGCTATAGAGATCAGTTCCCCTGGAGAAAATGAATGCTTTGGAGGGTGGAGCATATGACATTATACTCCACTGAGGTCGCTGTCCTCCCCAGGCTCCACCCCCAAATATCCAGGAATTTCCCAACCCGGAGCTGGCAACCTTATACCCCCACAGCACCCCATCAGTGGCCCGGAGGGGGGGGGCTGGCAACCCTAGTTGAACCAGTTTGATATGATAGTTTGGTGTGGAAAGCCAGTTTGGTGTAGTGGTTAGGAACGGTGGACTCCAATCTGGAGAACGGGGTTTGATTTGCCACTCCTTCACATGCGTCCAGCTGGGTGACCTTGGGTCAGTCACAAGTTCTCTCAGAGCTGTTCTCTCAAGAGCAGTTCTCTCAGAGCTCTCTCAACCCCACCTACCTCACAGGGTGTCTGTTGTGGGGAGAGGAAGGGAAGGAGATTGTAAGCCGCTCTGAGACTCCGAGTGAAGGCATGATCTTGCGCAGTAAGGTTCTGATCAGGTTCAAAATGCTGCTCTGTCATGAAGCTCACTGCATGACTATGGGCCTAACCTCTCTCACAAGATCATTGTGAGGACAAAAATGGGAAAGGGAGCGCCATGCACGCAACCCTGAGCTCAGTGGAGGAAATTCAAGATAAATATCTCACCAGTTCCCCTCCTGACTACATCCCCCTGATCCCACATGGTTTTTGTCCATGCAGGTCCCATGATCGCCTTCCAAGTCTACCAGTGGAAAAATTGCTTGGATCCAACCCACTGCTTGGAAAAATTGCTTGGATCCATTTCTTGGCCGCATCACGGTCAGTACATTTCCACCTGTCCTTCCCTCAAACTTAAAATTAACTGCAAAGGAGAGCACTGTGATTACTGTGGTGTTATGAGATCACTTTCATTTCATAATGCTTTGATCTGGAGGTCATGGGAATTGGCTCTGAGTAACTATTCACAGTTGATAAAGCACACACCCATCTGATTCATGGCAGCCAGCCACATCAGATTACCCTATTATCCAGGGCTTTTTTTGTAGAAAAAGTTCAGCAGTAACTCATTAGCATAATAGGCCACACCCAGCAGCAGAAATGCATTAGCATATTAGGCCACACCCGTGACACCACAGCTCATTAGCATATTAGGCCACATTCCCATGTTACCAGAAGTGTGGACATCCAGCCACACCCACCTTTTGCTTCTTATTCTGTTTACCTTGTTTGTTGTCAAAACCCAGGGCTTTTTTTGCAGGAACTCCTTTGCATGTTAGGCCACACACCCCTAATGTAGCCAATTCTAATGAGTTCCTGCTGTTGGGTGTGGCCTATTATGCTAATGAGTTCCTGCTGGGCGTGGCCAATTTGGGAGCCAGCCAGAACTCCGTTCCTGTGCGTTCCTGCCCAAAAATAGCCATGCTATTATCCCATTTAGGACAGCTTCCATCCCTTTAGGGCTTTGACCTGCCAACATGAGGGCAAAACAGACATTAATTTTTTTTAAAGACTGTTGTTGATTGTATAATATTATATTGACAAAGCAGTATTTTTTAAAAAACAAAGGGAAACTTACATCATATTGGCTATTACCGCACAGCCAGATGTGATGAGCATCACCATCCCTTGAATTTCGTAATGCGGATGCAGCAGCCTCATGATGGCTAAGTACGTCAACACAGCGGTCACTGCCCAAATGAAAACCACGGACAGCAAAGCGCCGAGAAGTTCTAGTGGTGCAAATAATCATTAGGAGCTACAACATAGGCACTTGATAACGAAAAGCCTCTTACTACTCTCAGTAATATTTTGAAATGACTAAGCCAGAGGCTTCCACAGACTTCAGACTAATTAACGGTCATTCCTCCTTTCCTCCTGGGGTCTGGAGTTCTGGGGGGGGGGTGCGCAGTAAGGTTCTGATGCACTAAGTTCCCAGATGACAGATGGGCAGCTGTGTTAGTCTGTTGCACTGCAATGAAAAAGGGGTCGTGGGGCACGTTCACGACCAATGGAAGATTGCGTCAGGAGCCTCTGCTTTCTAGAGGAAACTCATTCCATCCAAGGAGGCACAAGGTGCCACTCCTTTTTTTTAGCTATTAGTCCATGACTGATCAAAGAAAGACACATCTTTAGGTACAACAAACAAAGTCACACATTTACTGTCTTCTGCTACGGTTTCTCAGAAATATGACAAGATATTCTGAATGGGTGTTTCCTTTTCCTTAGAAAATTGCTTCAAGGGCGTTTCCCCAGTTCTCATTCACCTTTACCTGGCCCAAGTATGTTCAGGGGTTAATCGCTAGAAGCTCCTGGGCGAATCTTAACCCAATGAGGTAAGACTTCTCCCCCCCTTCATAAGTTGCCAACCAAAAGGCAATATGGGTGTGAAGAAAGAGGTGTGTGTGGCAACTTGATTTGCCAGCTGGCCACTCTAGTTGGTAGGGATCAAGCCAGGGTTCCCCAACCTTTTTGAGCCTGAGGACACATTTGGAATTCTGACTCAAGGTGATGGGCATGAGCACAAAATGGCTGCCATAAGAGGCGGAGCCAATCACAAAATGTCAGGGAGTCAATTCATACATAACACGTCAACATTTCAGGCAGAAGCTATGTTTAACAGTATGCCTTTTTAAATGAATATATTGTTTTAAAATGGTTTCCCCCCCCCATACACACAGCTCATCTTCAGTCATTCAGGGAAGATCCTTCTGCTGCAGGGGCAACTGCTGCTGAAGCAACATTAAAAAAAAAACTATCGTCACAGCTCATCAGATCGCCAATGGCCAATCAAAATCCCTGCTGGGTGAAAGCCCCACCCAGCTCCCCCCATTTCTTAGCAGGCACCACGATGTCCACAGGCCCCACATTGGGGACCCCTATTCTAGCCTATCACATTTTGTATATTCTTCTTGGTGTGGTTCTCCAGGACATTGAGTTGCTGACCACTTAATCTACACTAATCTTAACATTTCATTCATTGCCCTTGTCAATAGGAGCTGCTCTATCCGTTTTTCATTGCATAACATTTGGTACCTGCTCTGTGCCATCCATACGTTAATCTCTTGCTGGGTCGTTTTGATGACAGCCAAAGAGAGATGAGGCTGATCAGGAAACTCATCAAGTCAACAAACATGTGGGCTGCATCCGTCATCACAGCAAGGCTTCCTGCAATTCGGCCACCTAGGTCAGAGAAATCTTGGGAGTCACTGAAGCCGAGTCTCTGGCCCTTTCCACACTAGACCTTTAATCCTGGTTCAACGCTGTCTCCTACTAGCTATTCGGTACTACACTCGAATGCACCCTGCTTTTTATCCTGTTTTTGTGTGTGTGTCCGTTCTGCATTATATTGTGGTTACCCTGGACTTGGACTGCCCCATATGGATCCTGTTTTGCTGTGGGCTTTCCCTCAAACCAGAGTGGCCCCAGTGCAGACTTAAGTGTAGAATTTTTAAATCGGTTTCGATCCTCCCCGCCCCTTTCCTGCCATACCTAGGACATTAAACCTGGGTTTAATAGGGACTCTGGGGCAAGTGATGCTCTTTCTTCTTGGTGCTTGGGGGGGGGGTCAACAGTGGGAGGGCTTCTAATGTCCTGGCCCCACCGGTGGACCTCCTGATGGCACTGGTATTTCTGGCCACTGTGTGATACAGAGTGTTGGACTGGATGGGCCTTTGGCCTGATCCAACATTGGCGTCTCTTATGTTCTTATGTACTGTGCACAATGCAGAATTTATAACCTGGGGCAGGCAAGCAAATTGGAGTGGGACAAAATTAGTGCAGAAAACAACAGATAAACAGAGATAACAGCAAGGTAAATGGCTGCAAGTCGAACACAGAGGAAACCCCCTGTGAGGTCCACGTGCAGAAAGGGCGTCTCTATCAGACTGTTAATGGGAAAATGATACATTTATACATGGGAGAATGGTGGATCCTCCATTATTTGACACTAAGTAAATATTGAGCCCGAGGAGGTAGTTGACTAGGGTGACCCCATGGCTTCAGGAATACTATCGTGGGTGGTAGATTTCCAAGACTGAGGCTTTCTTTTGGACTCTGAGTGTCATATCTGAAGCCTATGTCCTTTACATCTCTAAGGCTGCATACATACATAGCTTGAAATCAGAACTTGCTGTCTTCTTCCTCACGCAGACTGAACACCTCCCCCCCTTCAGAACCCATCTGACAGGTGTGTGCTACTTATATCACATTCTAATTCAATACTCTGTTTGGCCTAATGCCCATGACGTTGCACAGGCTGTATGCTTTGGCTTTTTAAAGCACATAATGAATATTCAGTCATTTGTACAGATGCTCCAACGCCCGCCTCCAGTTCATCTCACCTCTGGTTTGCCTTTTGTGGAAAGGGACCCGAATTTTCAACAACTGGATAGAAAGTTAGTTGATCTATTTGTTGGTGTTTTAATAGGTTGTGTTACCGTATTCCATCACTGTACTCCTTCTAAGGCCCAATCTGCATCTAGCATTTGCTCCACTGTTTTACCAAACCCACTCTGGAATAGAAATTCCCCTCTACACTGCATGCCCAGGGCTATTTTGGGGCAGGAACGCACAGGAACGGAGTTCCGGCTGGCTCCTGAGTTGGCCACACCCAGCAGGAACTCATTAGCATAATAGGCCACACCCAACAGCAGAAACTCATTAGGATTGGCTACAGTAGGCGTGTGTGGCCTAACATGCAAAGGAGTCCCTGCTACAAAAAAAAGGACCTGGGTTTTGACAACAAACAAGGTAAACAGAATAAGAAGCAAAAGGTGAGTGTGGCTGGATGACCAGACTTCTGGCAACACGGGGTTGCGGCCTAATATGCTAATGAGCTGTGGTGTCAGGGTGTGGCCTAATATGCTAATGATTTTTGGCTGTTGGGTGTGGCCTATTATGCTAATGAGTTCCTGCTGGGCTTTTTCTACAAAAAAAAGCCCTGTGCACGCCACTTTCACTTTGATTGTCAGATTTTATGGCAGTATCCTGATTGCTTTCACCTTGTTTGATCTCTCGGTTTTATGGTAGCTGTCTGCATAGATTAATGGCCATTTTATGGCCATTCAGGGGTGACTCTGCAGTCAGTATGGTGTTGGCCTGGGGTATTTGAATGTGGTTTTGAGCCGCATCTTTTTCTGTTTCATTGTGGGAGCAAATGCTAGATGCAGATTGGGCCTAAGCCATGCAGTACAGAGCCTTTCTACTACCCTCATACTTACTGCATAACTGTTCTGCTCATCAGGCAATTGTTTAATTAGGTTAAATTGGTCACAAATCATATCAAGCTGTCATAAGTAAATGCTGTGTTTCAATAAAATCCTACCCTTCCGTGTCCATCTAATTAGTCCTTAATCATGTTAACGACCACATATCAGTTTGAATTGACAGCATCTTTGCCCATGTGCGGTTTTGTGAAAAGCCAATGAAAACCAATGCTGCAGACATTTGGAGATGTCCGGCATGAACAAAACAGATCAAGTGATCAACTCACCTTTGAAATTGGGAGGTTCACACCAATATATACACGTAATTGCTAAAACTGATGTCTGTTTTGGAATCAATCACATTAAACTGGCATCAGAGAAGCAAACACAACAGGAACACCAGTGAAACAAATAGGCCCACAAGGACTGCAAATAAAACGAAATGAAATTAGAAAGAGCCTATTCGATATCTCTGGCAGTCTGGAAACCGCTGAAGCATGACTCTTTCCTGCACCCACTGAGAAGAGGCTGGGATGTTAAAACAGTCCAGGACCAAACTGAGACAAAGAGCTCCTGCTGGACCACCAGGGGCTGCTCAACTTGACCTGGCCAGCTGCAACCAGGGTGGACTGGCCATTATAGCCACTGGGACTTCTTCCAGTAGCCCAGTGCCTCCCCCCTACAATTAAAACACTGGTTAGCAGGAGGGATCATTGAGGGAATGCCAAATGAAACAAAAAGTCTTTACCCACTGGCAGAAGACAGCAACAGAAGGGGACAGACGAATTTCCCTGGGAAGAGAGTTCCAGAGCTTGGGTGCCATGACCAAGAAGCACCTTGTGAGGCAAAGCACTTCTGGCCTCCCCCTCAAGGGTTAATGTGAATGGTAAGGGGCCTGATCCATCCTGAAGGTGTTACTAAGGGCGTACACCGCCCTTATCATCTTCAAGGCCGGATATATAAGTGTGGTAATCAGCTTCTCATGAGAACCTGCGGCCTGTAGGATGGGAGGGGGAGAATCATGGGTGATGAGGTAATCTTCTAGAGGCTTCTCCTGAGAACGTAATTCCTCAGCAACAGTGCAAAAGTGCCGCTAGAATCTGTTTGATTTTTAGGCCTTGGAAAGTGCAGTTAAAATTGTGAGGAGTTCATATCACTTCTCAGGGGTCTGAAACCCTCATCTTATCTATGAGTCTGAAATTATCTGCATCTCTTCATATATTTTATACCCTACTGTAAAGATATGTGCATAGCATAGCAGTTTTTCAGGGGGGAAGGAGAGAGTGGGCCTGTAAAACTAGAGTTGCCAGCTTTCATGTCCGGGTGGGGGTTCCCCTGCTTCTGGGGGCTTCGATCTGCCCCCGGGCAGCTGGCCGGTGGGGGAAGCTTTGCCCCCAAGAGTGACCACCTGCCTGGCCACCCCTCCCCCTCCCTGATTTAAAGGGCTTCAGCAGACGGAGAGTGATTCAGCTAAGCATACCTTTATTTAGTTAAGAACAAAGACAACTGACCGGCTCGCAGGCCGGTTTATATGCGTTCAGAAAACCCGCCACCAAACTCACCTAAACACACCCCCTACTCCCAATTGGCTATTTACAGTAACCGAGAGACCTATTGGCCTCCCGGCTGGGGACCTAGCCCTTTCATTGGGCCGGCTAGGATCCTACGGACCCATTGTCTTTAGACCTTAAGCTATAGAGGAATTGTGCCTGGCCAGCCTGGGCAAGTCCGGGCATGTCAGGCTGAATACATTACAAGCTGATTGGCAGGGAACACATGACCCGCCAACTGGCTGGAGGGCCCTTTAAATCTAGCAAGAGGGAGGGGAGAGGGGCAGTCATGGGCCGCATGCTCAGGTCACTTTTTGTGAGCGGGTTGGGGGCTGCGGCATGTGGGGCTGGGAGAAATCAGCTCTGCATGCTGCGGCCCCCACCCTGCTAGCAAAAAGACCCTTTAACCGCCCCTCTCCCTCCCTCCTGCTAGCTTTAAAAGGCCCTCCAGCTGGTCAATGGGCCTCGTGGTCCCTGCCGATCAACTGAAGCCCTTTAAATCGGGCAGGAGGGGAGGGAGAGAGGCGGCTGAGGTGACAGACACCCAACCATCTGGCCTCCCTTGCTGAAAACTGCCCTGTCATTTTTGCCCATTCCATCTTTGTTCTGTTATCCAGTTAGCATTGCTGCAACTGTATGAATGGATGTATTACTTTGCTTCTTTTAATATTTTTAATCATTTATTGTACTGTTCTATTTGGTTCCAATGGTTTTGTAGCTTCTCCGTTGTTAGCCACCCTGAGCCTGTTCATGGGGAGGGGTGGGCTATAAATTGAACAAAATAAATAAAATTAAAATAAATAAAATAAAACGTGTCCTGATTGGATGTCATCATCACCTGAGGTTGCTGGGCCAAAAACTATAGCTGAATTAAGGCCCCGAGGAAAGAAGACTAGCTTGGGTTTTGGTGGACTAAAGCCCGGACTATGAAATGTATGAATTGCCTGAGCTTCGGCCGTTGACTCTTGGATTTAAGGTCTGTGGCATTTAATGCAAGTCCCGAAAAGTGTCAGATAGTTAAGCTAGTTTTCTTGGGTTTTTGCTGCATGATTTTAGAGTAATGTGTTGCCTGTAGAGTCAATCTTTATTTTGACAAAAATTAAATAAAACTTCATAAAACTTTTTAAATAATAAACAGAGGTTTACTTACTTGTGTGCAACCACCCTGGAGACCCATAGGGTTCAACCTTGGAGTCCCTGATAGTCCTCTTATGCATACAAAGCAAATGCTGTACCACAGGCTCTACCCATGGCACCACCGGACCTCAACTTGGCTTGTTCCCAGCTACCAGCAGCCCTCTGGGGCAGTAGATCCTTGGGAATTTTCCTGGCTAAGCCACACCCTGCCTGCCCCATTGGAATAACATGAGAAGCTCCAGGCCATGTGGAAGTAGGATTGCCAGCTCTGGGTTGGAAAATACCTGGAGATCTGGGGGGTGGAGCCCGGGGAATGTGGGACTTGGGGAGGGGAGAGGCCTCTGCAGGGTACAGTGCCATAGAGTGCACCCTCCTGGAGCAGCCATTTTCTCCAGGGGAACTCCTGATCTTGGTCATCTGGAGATCAACTGTAATAGCAGGAGATCTCCAGCCATCATCTGGGGGTTGGCAACCACTTGCAGGAGGTCCCTGGGTGGCTCCCCCCACTGCACCACAGACTGTAAAAAGGGAGCCTTGCACACCACACTATCTCCATTTCATTTGCCTTTAAGAGTGGGAGGGAAGGAAGGATGACTTCTTCTCCCATTACTTTCAGGAGAAATGCTTCTCGCGGAACAGCAGCTCACTTGATTGCTTGGTAATGATGCTTCCAGCAAATGGGTTGTGTGATTGAGCAGGACTCTCGCTGACTGTTCATTGCTTTGTATACTAACACACAGCAATGGGAACTGTCAGTCACGCAGTGGTCAATTATCCAGGAAAATGCTGTCTAGACTGATTAAAAAAATTAAAATATAGTTCATAATTACAATGATTCCCAGACACTGTCATCTACACCAGCAGTTTAATGACTGGTTTATCAGAGCTTAAAGGTTTGCAGGCATCGGGCAGTGACATTTGCTTCTTCAGCTGTCATTGCAAATATTGCAATGATTTATGAAGTTGGTGGGGGGAGGCCTTATGTTATTAAGACATTTTCTGTCCACCGCTATGTTGGGATATGCAAGGTCTACTGTGCATAGATAAAGAAAATGACAAGAACATTCTGCAGGGGGCAGCAGAGTGAACAACTAGTTAGCATAGTGAGGTTAGGGGCTTCCTACTATTTTCAAATAGTCTCCTTCCTGTCTCCTGATTGGCTCACTTTTCCTGCTGTTTCATTACTCTTTCTTAGATCGTTACACAGACAGACTTCTCTTTTTCTCTCCTCTTTCTTACAAAGTTTGTTCCCTTCTTAATAAACCTACTTTATTCTTTACACAGCTTGAGCTCCGCTTTACTGCATATCTACACTCTGCCAACAGGCTAGACTTCCGTGGGCTCATGCATTCACTGCACTGCTTTTTATAGCAGTCATAGCCATTTACTGCTTCTAGGAATGACAGTGTCGAATTCAAAATATGCCACAATAATCAGAAGTTACATTTATTTTCTGTCTCTTATACTCTGCTAATCTAGCCAATGAAGACCCAATATGGCTACAACATAATTCTCCTCTCCTCCGTTTTATTGTCACAGCGACAACCCTGCTAGGAGGTAGCTTAGTTTGAGAGAGAGAGAGAGAGAGAGAGAGAGAGAGAGAGAGAGAGAGAGAGAGAGAGAGAGAGAGAGACTAAAAGAAAGGATTTTTACTGGGGTTCCTAAGTGCCACACTATACAGATGACAGCAGATTTAGATATTATGGAAATGGTGTCCATTTAATGACTGGGAGCTTGTTTTCAAGTACATTTCTGGGTTTTAAATGATTATCTTCTGTGGCCAAACATCCTACACTATCCAAAGTGATAATGAGTAACTTGCAGTGCGGTCCTAAGCACAGTTACACCCTTCGAAATCCATTTAAAACCAATGGGCTTAGCAGGGTATACCTTTCTTTAGGATTGCACTATTAAAGCAGGGGTGGCCGATTCCTTCAGCTTGAGTGATGAATCTTCCCCTGCCATGCTGTGTGTGTAGGGATTGGTGTCTCCCAGCCATGACATCATTGCTCCGCCCTCCCACATGCCAATTGGACAAGGAGGGTCTGGTCCTATCTAGAGATGTTGTGATCCCTGCTAATGAGAAAGGCTGGCTGTGACCTTACGCCTTGCAGCGACCTCTGCACAAGCCCAAAGAACTGGCTAAGGGCAGTTTTAGGAACTAGATGGTCTGGATGGATGGAAGGGTGATCTCACCTATGACTTCTGAAATCATGAATATGAGGCACATCACGGATGCCATGTAGAGCTTGTGCCTGGCCTGCTGTTGCTCCTTCTTCCTGCTCTCATAGGCCATCACGTGGTCATGACAGTGATGCCATGAACCAGACCCAGAATCCACCAGTTCCTTGTTGTGGTTTTCTTTGTTTCCATTGTTCTGCAGTAGATTTGTGCTACATGTGGGAGAGGAACAGAAGGTTTATTTGTAGCTCGGATTATGTATTGTCTGCACTAGACTCTGTGCCATTTCTGCATGCTGAATAAACTGTAAGGGCTGGGGTCCTGCTCGTCTAAGAGGTCTGTCTACCTGCCTCTGGCTTCGGAGATTTTACTAGCGTCCAGTTGTTTTCATGCTGCAGTCATTAGGACTAGAAGCATGATTTTTTTTTGAAGTAAGGAAATAAAGCTGAGATCTTTAAGACCCTGCTTGTATGTTAGATACTGTACTAAAGTGAAAATGAATTTGGATTTTTTTAAAAATCAAATCAGTTCTCCGTGCTCAGATTGTTTTGCAAAAAACTCTCAAAAAACATTCTCCTTGATTTTTTTTTTAATATTCTCAATTATGGGTGCTGCTAGATTTAGGATTTTTATTGGCAATTAAAAAAAAAGAGCTAACCTTTGCATCAGTATTTTAAAGAGTCAGTTTAAAAAGCGAGACGTGAAACTGTCCCCGTCCCGGTGGAATTCTCACATTTCCCCCAGATATCAAACTTGCATACGTACATAATGTTGTATTTACAGTTTGTTCAAATACCAAATGTTATGCTTTTGCTGCTCAGCTGTGGCACTGCAAAATGCACCCATCCCTGTCTGCAGCCTCAGCACCCCAGCTGGCATCCCCCTTCCTTTTCACAAGCAAAGTCTAAGCTGCCTTTGAGGTTTATTCATGTTACCAACATTAATGCCGGATTTTTCATGCAGAAGAGAAAGAAGAGCTAATGCAGGCCTTATGAACCAAATCAACAACATTCATAATAAAAACATGTTAAAAACCATTAAACAAAGAAACATTAAAAACAATTAAAACCAAGCTAAAATATGCATAAAAACAGTAATGAAAACAAGGCTGGAATGAGCGATCACTGAGGGAACACCAGAGAAGACAAAGAAGTCTTCACCCACTAGTGAAAGATACCAACTGAAGGGGACAGGCGTCTGTCTGGGGAGAAAGTTCCAGAGATCTGATGATGCCACGACCAAAAAGGCCCTTTCTGGGCTGCCACCTTTCTAATCTCAGAAGGTGAGGATACCCGAAGCTGGGTCTTGGAAGATGACTATAGCAGTTGGGTAGGTTTGTAAGGGAGTAGGTGGTTCTTCAAGTATGCTGGTAGCCAGGGGTTATTTTGTAGAAAAAGAGGTGCTGGAGTTCACTAGCATAACTCATTAGCATAATTTATTTGCATATGCCACACCCCCTGACATCACCAGAAGTGTGTCAGAAGGCAATACCCACTGCTCAGGCTCCACTGGACTGTTTTGGATTGCTAGCCGGGGGGGGTGGTGCACAGATCTGCCCTAGCAGAGAAGGGAGAGCTTGTACCTGAATAAACCTTGGCTTTAAAGGTGCCACTGGACTGTTTTGGATTGCTAGCTGGGGGGGGGGGGGAACGGCCACAGCTGT